GGTGAGGCGTCGGTGGAGGCCCGAGCCCGGCTGTCTCCGCTGCGGTTCCCTGCGGGAGCGCGTGGCGTGCACGCGTCTGCTCCTGGGGCGCTGGTGGCCTGCTCCCCGGGCTCCTCCTTGCGACCGCTCAGCGACGCGCCTGTTTCCGTCTTCGGCTCCTTTTTATCCCCAGCAATTTGGGCCTCGCTCTGGCAGGCCCTCCCGGTCTCCTCTGATGGCTCAGCCGCATCAGCCGAACTGGGTTTTCCAGTTACAAACTTAATAATGAACCACAATTATGTTTTCAACTGTTAGAAGCAAATAGACCTTGCTAGATCAGGTGCCGCAGATGCTGGCACCACTTACGTACGCTTGTTTTGCAGCATGAAAGGGCGGTCTGCGATCGGCCTGAGTAGCTTCCCTAGTGGCAGTAGATCCCAGGAAGAATGACGACAGGGGTACTTTTGGGTCTTACCCTCACTTTGTGAATTTGTGCCAGGGCAAGAGGCACTTGCCTTGGATTAGGCCGCTGCCAGGCTTCCTTACGTTTACTTGCTATTACCGTGACCAGTAAAAGCAGTCTTTTGGGGAAGTGTCAGGCCGGCTATGCCTATATGATATACTTGTCTCTTGAGTAGGAGGTCTGGTGCTCTGAAAACGGTTTGACTTACTGTACCGTTAGTCCACTATATGCAGGCTAGGGCTACGTTATACAGCTCTTCTTTGACATTTACTGAAGCTGAGGATCTCAGCTAACCAGAAGTTTGAATGCATGGTTATCTCATGCAATCTCTTCAGGTTATCTAGAACACCTAATTGCAGATTAGAGGATTCCTGTAGAAAATTATACCGTATTAAAATTATATTGTTGGAAATAAGAAAGTTTTTGGTACAACTTAATAGAAGTTATTTTTTATGACTCCTTCTTTTTGGGTTTCAGTAATCAAATTACACAAAATCAGAAAATTTTATTTACAGGCCAGTTAAACATCATCTGAGATGATCAAACTGTCCGCGTAAACCAAGGACTAACTTTCAGTCTGTTGTTATATTGCTATCCTTTCAATCCTCTGGTAGCGGGATGGATCTGTAAGGCCTACAGTTCCCAAAAGAGGAAAAGAATGACACTCTTGTAATTTTTCTTTTTATTTGTGGTAGAAGTTATCTTCAGTTTTTAGCTTTGGTTTAGTTTTAACTCGCCTTCCTGTGGGTGAATCTTCTGTTGAATTGTCTCTGGCTTCTGAAGTCAAACAGTGTCTGGGAGTAAAACAGCACAACGAGTCATGGAGCAATCCCACTTGCTGCCACAAAACCCACTTGCTGGATCAGTACATGCAATCTTTCAGGGTTCCTTGCTATAGGATGTGTAGCATGCGTTGAAATCCCTTCATAAAGAATCCTATAGAAAGGATACCGTGACAGCTGTTGCATCCCAGGGTAGAAATGAGGTCGCAGCATTACAAGTGTTGGCAAAGTAGCCCTGCTTGTGGCAGTGCACCCGGTCTCTTAATCTTTGCCAGAAGGCAGCTATTGCTTCTGTAAAGACAGAGGCGCAGGCAGCTGCATTTTTCTGATGCAGCGTTTCTGGAAGAACAAGCCCTGAGGGTAGTTGTAGCTTAAGGATGCTGGAGTGAGACACACTTGGGAAGTAGGGAGCAAGATCAGGGAGTCGGGTGGCAGAGAAATAGGTATAGCGTTGGTGTTGGATGTTGGTAAACCTAATGGGGTAGCTTAGAGATGTGGAGGACACGTTTTAAGGCCTTTTAAAAATTTTACGTTGTGTTTGGTTAATGCTATTGTAGCATTTAACACATTTCCTTTTGAAGGGACAATTCTATTCCAAGCTGACTAATCCCTGAACTTTTAAAACCACAACAAGATGGTGTGTGGTACTAGTGAGTCACTGATTGTGAATCATACATACTTCAGTACAGATAAATGAATCCCTTTGTTTCATTTATTTTTGTTTTGGTAGTCTGTGGAAGGCCTAGAGAAAAGTCATGACCTTGTAAAACTAGGTGTTGTATAAGCACACACAAAAAGACCCTGAGCCTGCATATACTCTCTTCTATCTGTCCATTTAAGCTTCATTTTAACTTGTTTTACCGATGTGAATAAAAATAAGTGTATCTAAAGCTCTTTAAAATTGAAGTCTAATAGTAAACGTTTCTGCCTTGTGGAGTTCGGCAGTTTAAATAGTCTAGGAAGGAAAAAGTGGGAGCACTATATAATGGGCTGTGCCTCCCAGGAAGAGAGAAACCATAGGGGTGTTAGCTTGCTAGCAGATGTGCATCTCCATATGTATTCCTGGAAACTGAAGACCCCTTGAATTCCAGTCCAATATCTTAGTTGCAGAAATTGTATTAACTACATGCATTACTTACTTGCATTAATGACAGTACTACATTAGTAAAGGTGCTTTGAAGTTTTGATTGACTTTTCAGCGGAAAAGTGTATGTAGAGGGAGCAGTAGATGGTGTTACATGTGTGTGTGTGTAACTCTGCTCTCTCCCACTCCCTTCCATGGCGGTTTTTGTTCTTGGGAGAGGCGTGTGCCAAAGAATCAGCTTTTGGCTCAGGGAGATTTTCTGCTGAATCAACACTTCTCTGCAGCTGATTTCTGTGCAACGTAACTATGAAAATTCACTAGGCTGCAATTGTAAAACTAATTTGTGGAATTAACTGCAGTAGGACTAAACAGCAACATTGAAACTGCTTACGAGAGCTGCCTACCCTTGACTTTATCAGTTATTATCATTTGCTCATGAATATATGTTAGCTGGCTTAATAGTTGTATATCAATCAGACCTAGATCCTGGGAAGCTGGGCTTCACCACTTACTTAGAGACAGGGTAAATAAGTTGTTCGTTGTATAAAGTATAGTGTTCTGTCCACATCAACCAGATTGTAGGCTTCTGGCTCTAGACTATGTATGCACGAAGGACGACATGTTTCAATTCATGTTTCTTTACCCCCATCTTCATTGGTGTAACATTAATGCACGATATGAGACACCGAGTGAAGGGGATCTTGCCAAACAGCCCTTGTAAAGGTGAGTGCCTGCTGCTGTCAGAAAGCTTCAGCCTGCCCTTAGGAGAGGTAGCAATTGTGGGTGCTGGGCTTCTCCTCACTCCTTCAGTGCATTTGTTGTGCATTCCCACCTTGCTAGACTTGGCTGTCTTTCTCGAACAGAAAGGGCAAGGATGTAACACAATGTATCAGAGGATGGGCAAAAGTAACTTGAGCCCCCCAAGAACAAGACAGACATCAATAAACTGGAGTGAGTTGAGCAGAGGATTACCAAGATGGGTCAGGGGGCTGAAGCACTTGTCTGCTGAGGAGAAGCTGGAGCAACTGTGTTTCTTTGGGCTGAAGAAGAGGTGGCTCTGGGGTCACCTAATAGCAGCTTGCCTGTACCTATGAGAGGTTATCAAGAAGATGGACCCAGGCTCTGGGGTTGAAGGGGGGGAAGATGGGAGGCAACAGGCATAAGCTGAAAGAAGAGAGGTTCAGAATATATGGAAAAAATGTATGAAAAAAGAAACCAAAACTTTTCCTCATAAGGCCAGTCAAGCAGTGAGACAGGATGGCCAGAGAAGCAGTGCATCTTTGGAGGTTTTCAAAATGTGGCTGGATAAAGCTCCGAGCAACCTGGTCTGACCTCATAGCTAATCCTGCGTTGAGCAGGAGGCTGGACAAGAGACCTCCTGAGGTCCCTTCCAGCTGGAATTATTGTGTGATCCTAACAGAAAAGGCTGATCTGAACAAGTGAGCGATCTAATGTAGAAGGTGACACCTAGGTGTCATGAATTGAAATGCAGCTTATAAGGACTGTTTTAACAGCCTTAGGTTTGGGGAAATCCTGCTGTCAAGGGTTTAATGATATCGGTTTATCCCACCCCCCAGCTACAGCAGAAGGCAAAATCATGGCTGCATGAAATACAGAGAAGACAACACAAAGTTCATAATGTTACTTTGATTCCTTTCCTTTCAGTATAGCAAGTCATGATTCTTGATAGGGCATATAAGGGATTTCTCTTGGAATCGTTTTCTTTTTGTCTACGGTCACTAAGTGATCCATATGAACTCTCCAACTTCAAAAAAGATATATGCATATAAGTCTTGGTTAAAAATAATGAAATGTCTGTGCTCTACGCTTGGTTCTGTAAACATTACCCAGTAAGCGTATGATAGTGATTTCTGTCATTAGTGTATTTGAGAGGAGACATGAGCTGTGTGCCCGTTCATAAAAGGTGGATTGGTTGGGGTGTGTGAAAGGTCCTTGTAGCTAGTGTCCTTGTTTGTAGTTGTCCAGTTGACAAATGTAGGGTTTCAGACTGAGCCTAAGATGTTATTTTCCTTGATTTTGAAATTAATTTACTACTTCTAGCTTACTTAAGTTGAAGTGCTTTCTGGATGCCACTTTTCTTCCCCTTTTACTTTCCTATTTTGTATTCTCCCCTGTTTTCAACTTCACATCTTTAAACTTTTCTTTACTAATAGGTTGATTCTGCTTTAGGATAATGGCAGGAAAAGTAAAGTGGGTGACTGACATAGAAAAATCTGTTCTAATAAACAACTTTGAAAAAAGAGGCTGGATTCAGGTGGCAGAAAATGAAGACTGGAATTTTTATTGGTAAGTACATTAAAAATAGCAATTTCTAGATCTGGAATTTTAATATCTTATGTTAATACCACTAGTAATATGACAAAACACATATTAAAAACAAAAAATGCAGAAATTAGCATTAATTTACTGCAGTGCTCCTAAGAGTGTAACATTGTTTCATTGCTCCAGTAATGTCTTACGCTGTTGCTGGTCTTCTGTTCAGATTTGTATTGGTAGATTCCTGTATCTGTGCAGGCCTGCTGAAGTCATTGGCGTTCCTCAGGGCAGAAGGTCCCATCTGCATGGATCCATTCCCATGCTACTGATCGCATGTATCTTTACAGTTTGCCAAAGGTTTTGTCAGGGAGTGGAAAGTCACTGACCTAGCAAGATACTGATCACTTCTGGGAATACCAATTGTAAAAAGCCCAAGGGAAAGGCTGTGCTCATTGCTTTTTGTTTTGAAATGTGATACCTGATTTTATTCAAATTTCTTGTATGCAGTAAGGAGAATTTTTCCTCTACACTTGGAGGGGATTTGTGGCCTGAGGGGAATCTTTGAATGTATCTTTTCTCAAAATTTTCTGACGACACAACCTAAGCAAAATAATCCAAGAGTACACAGCTCTAATATGTGATAAAATATTCTTTTATCAATGTGACGGAGGCTTGCCCTGTTACCAGAGTGCAGGCTCCTGTGATAAAGGCCTTGAGAACTGTACTTTCGTTCTCCTTCATGATAATGATTTTTGTGGAGACTAATTATTCAACATTTCAATACTGAGAGTGAATGTGAAATTAAACCAAGATAATGGTGAAAGGACTAAATAATAATAAATAATAGTAAATAATCTAGCTTCTTACTTGGCATTTGTCTAATATAAGACTGTGAAATGCTGTCCTAGAATGCAGTAATCTATTAATTGGCAGAAACAATATTCTTCAAGTAAACCAAACAATTTATATTGTTCCTTTCAAATACGACAGAATGGCGGTTTATGCTACCAAATGTACCCTTTGTGAACCATTTACTTAAACGGGTAGGAATCTCGTAATCTGCTCATGCTTTTGGAATGTGGTTGGGGGGGAGTGGGGGAACAGGGCACTCATGGAAACTGTTGTGTGACTAGTTGTTTTGGGTTTGGGTTTGGTTTTTTTTTTTTTCTTCCTGAAATGACAATGTAGCAGATTGATGGCATTCAGGAAATATTCTTAGATTTCTAATGTGAGACATCTGATACAGAAAATTCTTCATATCTATGGCCCTGCTCTTCTGTGAAAAATGAAGCAGATAACTGATTTGATGACTTTGTCACTACAGCCCTCTGATCTGGTATTTACGGGTGTTTTTAGCAAGATCTCTGAATCGCTGTTCTCAATTCATATACTTGAAGTCCTTTACAATCTGAGTAGCAAGATAGTCAGTAGAAAGTTGTTTTTGTGACTTTAAGAGGAACACTGAGTTTCCAGAGAGCGAAGTAATAGATTTAGAAAGATGCTTCTGTAGCATTTGGGTGCATATCAGTCATTTTTAGGCCCTGCTGGGGGTTGAGCTGACTATCAACAGAGTCCAGCAGGGCCAAGTTGTCACCTTCCTTTCCTCACTGTCTGCCCCAATTTCAGTAGTAGTAGAGGGATCGATAAAAAATCTGTCAGGATTTCATTGGTTTTGCTAATAGAGGTTCAGGATATGTTGGATTGTCACTGCAGCAAAATATTATACTATAAAGAGAAATGAGAGAGAAAAGATGAAGTGAACGTAACAAAAAAAATTCAACTTTGTCCTTCTGAGTTGTGTTTCTTGGGAGAAGTCATTTGGTATCTGTCTTTGCTTTCAGGATGAGCGTGCAAACAATTAGAAATGTTTTCAGTGTGGAAACTGGTTACCGCCTCTCTGATGACCAAATTGTCAATCATTTCCCAAACCATTATGAACTGACCAGAAAAGATTTGATGGTAAAGAATATCAAGCGATATAGGAAAGAACTTGAGAAAGAAGGAAGTCCTCTTGCTGAAAAGGATGAAAATGGGAAATACATTTATTTGGGTATGTGGTTCTCATTATCAGCATTAATTTTCTTCTCTGTGGTCAATAACCTGGAATTGAGCTAGCTTTTCTGTGCATAAAGCACTGAACCTCTGAAGTGTTAGAACGTTAAAGTGACTATCTTGAAATGCTCTGTCCCCGTCAATTAAATAAAGTGCACTTTATCCTAAAATCAGGTTTGCAGAATGCAGCAAATAACAGCCTTCTTTCTCTGTCTTCTCCTCCTTTTCTCTCCCCTCAAATCTGCCATTAGAGCACAAGGAAACACAAGAATTGGGAAAGTGATAAAAACAGTGGTAGTGAACATTTCATATGAAATACTACATTTTGAAAGCTTTTCACAAACCCTGCTTTGAAGGATAATGGCTAATATTTTACAAATTGAGAGAAATAGAGGGGATACCACTCGTTCAGGATCTTTGTCGAAATTAGAGACAAAGCAGGAATAAAAGATTGAACATTTCTGTTTCCCTGTCATATTACCACAGCACTGAGGCCCAATTCCTCCACTGTGTACTTGCTAGTATTCAGCAGTATTCAAGGAGGAGAACAAATCCAGTTTGTATGCACAGAAGCTGTATTTAGACTTAGTTTTGTAAGTAGTAATGTCTTTAAAGAAGACTGTATTTAACAGTGCAGCATTAGCTGAAGCAACATTGGATGAAGTGATAATGAAATTATTATTTTTAAATGTAAGGGTACAGAAATAGATTTGTAACTAGGCTGTTTGTGTTTGGGGGTGGGAGTCTGGGGAAGAAGAGGAGTTGGTTAGTTGGGTTTTTGTTTGGGTTTTTTTATTGTTTTGTTTTGTTTTGTTTTTAATTATTTTGAAGAGAGAAAATTGTGGGATTAAGGTACTTTGCAGTAAGATTAGTGGTGAAACCAAAGGGCTCTGGAACTTCATATGAGACAGGGTTCGAGTTTCTTTAATTCAAAAGTGAAAAAGCATTATCTGAAAATCTTATACTGGAGCAAAAACTAAAACTTTTGCAGAAAGTCTCTAGACAGAACTGAATGAACAAACTGTTCAGAGGAGAAATTTGGGGGAAGTTGGAGAACAAGTAATGACTGCTAGAAGATAAATTAAAAAACCCAAACAAACACAAAAAGCAAAAAAACCCCAAAACCAAACCAGCAACAGATCAGGAACGAGGAGAGTAAAGTTGTTTTGGAGGTCAGAAAGCACTGGAGTGAAACAGAGATGGGGATATGTTGAGTTGATTTACATCTTGTGAAAGTGAGATGAAAGCACTGTTGATCCGCATAAGAAACAAGCAGTTTTGTATGGATGGAAGTGAAGATAATCTGATAGCAAAAATTGAGAAATGCTTTTCTTTAGATTTCAGTAAGCATGGTAATACTGATTGTGGGAGCAAATAAGAATGACTAATGGGCATTACATGGAAATAAAAATTACCACATCCAAAGGGGAAGCAACATCAACATTGACATTTTTGCATGCACACAGGATGATAAGGTGGTTAGCAGAATAGTAAAAGCTGACATAGGAAATTGAGAAAGTTTGATAAAGTTAAGTTGGAATGGTATATAATACTCTAATTTCACAGCATATAAAACAGAAGAAGAAAATTGATTCATGTGAATTAAAATCTATGAATCTGAAGTTAGCAGCATGCAATATTTTGCAATTGTTTGTTTAAGTAAAAACTACAAACCAGAATTTAAATGAGATAAAAAGCAACATGAGTCTCAATGAAAGTGGATCATGCCAGACTGGAAAAGTGAAAAGACAGAATTAGTTTATATGTATCAATAGCCTTATCAGCTATAGTGTCCTAAATTGTGCACCTTTTTTTTTCCCTAACTCAGATTTTGTTCCTGTTACTTTTATGCTTCATATAATCTCTTTGTTGAAGAATTCAGAAAAAATCCCTCCAGCACTTGGATTATGAAACCTTGTGGCAAAGCTCAAGGAAAAGGAATATTTCTAATCAATAAACTCTCCCAAATTAAAAAGTGGTCTCGAGATAGCAAAACATCTTCGTAAGTTCTTAAACCCCAAACCCTTTATTGTACTTTCTGTAATCGGGTGAACGACATCAACATGCTAATTGTCTAATGCATGGAAAAGTATTCCATTATTACTGCTTTGTCATTATATAGTTAGTTTTGCATTTAATCTCAGTTGTTATCTGACTTCCTCCTTCAAACAGGTTTTAATACGATTTGTTTTGGTATGAGGAGGTACAAAGAACTGCTCAACTAACTATTCTTTATAAAAATGCTTTCAGTGTTGTTGGGGAAAAAAATGCACAAAAATAAATTGTTCCGCTTCATAGTAT